TGGTACCCCTCTGATGGCGGCCCTGCATGGCTCAGTAGGCTGCTGCTCACCAGGTCTTTCTTCCGGGCAGGCGCCCCACTAAAAATTGCTGCTCTAGGCATACGTCTTGTTTGCCTTGTGGTAAATACACCACTGGGTAAATACTGTACCTGTTGTGATCATTTGAGTGTTTCTGATTCTGAACCTGCAAAGACACAGGACACTGGGGGATAAAATAGCTCATAGCATTTTTCAAAAAAAATTTTGCAATTCACTAAAAAAAAAAAAAAAACACTGCTAAAAAAATTATAGCTTAAAATATAGCTATTAGAGTTATTTCATTAAAATTTTAGGTATTTTACTCATGAAACCAGTCATTATTTTATCACATGATGTGATATTCAATGGAATGGAAACAGTGGAGAAGGATAACCCCTGAACTGCTGTCAGTTTTTATTGCTAATAAAGGGTCTTAAACCTCCTGCACATAGAGGGCACTGCTGAGACTGGACCAGAGCGACTGCAAATTAGGTAAATATACTGTTTTTTTTTTTTCTTTACAGAGCTAGATTGATTAGGCTTAGAATGTGACTGAGTGTAGGTTTAGAGTTAGTTAGGCTTTGACCATACTTCCACTTTAAATAACACATATCTGGGAAAGACTTATTTAACTCATGCATTTATTTATTTATTTCCTTTAGTGAATTGCTTTTAAAAAATCATTTTATGAGGTATTTAATGAGAGTTTTTATTTTTTGAGGTAAATATTTGATATGGTGATAGTAAATTTGCCATTTTCATCTTCACATGAGGGTCAATTCATTAACAGATAAATACTGCATGAATTTGTGAGTTAAAATAACTCATGACGTATTTATTTCAAAAGTAGTCAATCACTAAAAAACATGCGTTATTTACCAAATGCTTTAAATATTTATGTTTTGCGATATTTAGCACTTAAATTTTGCATTATTTTTGGTGTTGTTTTTTTCACAATTTTTTTCTTGCAGGCTAACATTGCACCAGAATGCACACAGAAATTACAGTTGCAAGAAAAAGTATGTGAACCCCTTGGGATTACGTGGAGTTTTGCATGAATTGGGCATAAAATGTGCTCTGAACGTCATCTAAGTCACAAAAATAGAAGAACACAGTCTGCTGAACATAATACTACACAAACATTAGATGTTGCCATGGTTTAATTGCACATACCATGTAAACATTCACAGTGCAGGGAGGAAAAAGTATGTGAGGCCCTAGCTTAATGACTTCTCCCAGAGCTAATTGGAGCCAGGAGTGAGCCAACCTTGACTCCAATCAGTGTGATGATATTGGATGTGTTGCTGACAGCTGTCCTGCCCTTAAAAAACACACAGCTGTTTTGGGTTTACTGGTTTCAAGAAGCACTGTCTGATGTGAACCATGCCTCGCAGAAAAGAGCTCTCAGAAGACCTACGATCAAGAATTGTTGACTTGCATGAAGCTGGAAAGGGTTACAAAAGTATCTCCAATAGCCTTGATGTTCATGTGTCCACGGTAAGACAGACTGTCTACAAATGGAGAAAGTTTAGCACTGTTGCTACTCTCCCTAGGTGCGGTCGTCCTGTAAAAATGACTGCAAGAGCACAGCTCAGAATGCTGCATGAGGTAAAGAAGAATCCCAGAGTGTCAGCTAAAGACCTACAGAAATCTCTGGCACATGCTAACATTTTTGTTGACACATCTACAATAAGGAAAACATTAAACAAGAATGGAGTACATGGGAGGACACCACGGAGGAAGCCATTGCTGTCCAAAAAGAATATTGCAGCATGTTTGAAGTTTACAAAAGAGCACCTGGATGTTCCACAGCACTACTGGCAAAATATACTGTGGACAGATGAAACCAAGATTGAGTTGTTTGGGAAGAACACACAACACTATGTGTGGAGAAAAAAAGGCACAGCACACCAACATCAAAACCTCATCCCCACTGTAAAACATGGTGGAGGGAGCATCATGGTTTGGGGCTGCATTGCTGCCTCAGGGCCTGGATGGATTGTTGTTATTGATGGGAAAATTAATTCCAGAGTTTATCAAGACATTTTGCAGGAAAACGTATGACCATCTGTCCGCCAACTGAAGCTCCGCAGAGGATGGGTGATGCAACAGGACAATGACCCAAAGCATACAAGTAATTCAACAAAACAATGGCTGCAACAGCACAGAATATGCCTTCTGGAGTTGCCCAGGCAGAGTCCTGACCTCAACCCGATTGAAATGCTGTGGCATGACCTTAAGAGAGCGATTCACACCAGACATCCCAAGAATATTGCTACACTGAAACAGTTTTGCGAAGAGGAGTGGTCCAAAATTACTCCAGATCATTGTGCAGGTCTGATCTGCAACTACAGGAAATGTTTGGTTGAGGTTATTGCTGCCAAAGGAGGGTCAACCAGTTATTAAGTCCAAAGGTTCACATACTTTTTCCTCCCTGCACTGTGAATGTTTACATGTTATGTGGAATTAAACCATGGCAACATCTAATGTTTGTGTAGTATTATGTTCAGCAGACTGTGTTCTATTTTTGTGACTTAGATGAAGTTCAGAGCACATTTTATGCCCAATTCATGCAAAACTCCACGTAATCCCAAGGGTTCACATACTTTTTCTTGAAACTGTATGTGAAACTATGAAAACATGGTAGTGTGCTTTCATTCACAAAATGATCTCCCTCTGATAAAATGTTACAATTTATTTTCATACCTGAGCTCAGAGGAGAACATTTTCACATTGACATTGAGGCTACATGCACACGGAGCGGTTTGATAACGCTGGTAATGTTAGCTGTGTAAAGTCATGTTAAAAATTTGAGTTTTTCAGCATCTTTGCATTATGGCATTTTGCTGCGTTTAGCGGTGTGCATTTTTCTGCGTTTGAGTTTTTTAGCGCTTTTTTTTGTGTTTTTTTACCACGAAAAAAGATTTTTTTGGTAAACAAAAAGTAAAAAAATGCTGGTTTACAGCTGTTTACTGTGCCGCCTATCTGTGGACCCCTAAATTAAGTGCCCAGTGCCCCCCGCCTATCCGTGCCACCCTCATTAGTACTCTGCCTATCATGTGCCCTTTAGTTGCTGCCTAATCAGTGCCCATCAGTGCCGCCTATCAGTGCCCACAGTGGCGCCGCCTCATCAACCGCAAATCAGTGAAGGAGAAAAAATAACCTGTTTGAAAAATTTTAATAAACCAAAGAAACTTTTTTTTTTTTTCAAATTTTTGGCACATTTTTTAATTTATAATCGCAAAAAGTAAGCATTTTTACCATGTTTTTGCCGCATTTTTCAGCATTAGAGCATTTTTACAGTTTAAAAACTCCTCTAGAAACCCACTAGTTCTGGGGGTTTTTTCCAGCCAAAAAACGTCCCTGCCAAAAACGTTGATTACAGTCTATGTGTGCATGGACACATAGGATAACATGCTGGGGAGTTTACTAGCTGTAGAAAAAAACATCAAAAGCCAAAAAAACAGCCGCTGTAAAGACATCCAGTGTGCATGAGGACTGAAAGTGTATATTTTTCACTTTCTGGCCAGTGCAAAGTTCTTCTAATTGTTATTTTGTACATTTCTAAAATACTGTCAACAAACACCAGGTGATAAATAATGAATGTGTGTGTTTTTTAATGAATCGACTTTAATGCTCTATCTCATGGGGTTTTTTGCAGTATTTACCTCACTATTCTAACAAATGTGCGGTATTTACCTCACATTCAATATTTTACTTTGATGAATTGACTCTTTTATTATCTCATGAGATCATTTATGAAAATGAGTCACATGACCGTGTTATCACATGCGGTAACCTTTAGTTAATTGACCCCAATGTGTCAAGTGATTCATTTATCCCATAAGATACTCTTTAGTGAATTGAGCCCATCTGAGTTAAGTGTAGCTTCACCCAAACACCACAGGAGGTTTCCCAGCACTGAATTCTGTAACAGGAGACTGTAGATGTGATAACAGACATGCATTGAATCTGACCACAAGAAGAAATATCACATTTAGATTAGTCATTGGTGACTGGTCCGACTTCTCCATTTACTGGAGTCTGTGCTTTAGCTCCACAATCTTTCTTTCTAAACACACAACTGTGGCTCACTTAAGTTTATTGATATGATAATATTAATTTTACATTTTTCAACAATTATTTATAGTTTTAGGTAAGAAGATCTGCTAGCTAAGAAAAAATATACATAGGTAGAGACAGAGGAATTCAAATGACTGCATAGTCCCGTCACATAGCAAAATGGTAATAACTGGTCACATTATACAACTACGGAGCCCTCTACTCATATTGTTATTTGTCAGTCAAGGTGGGGACCTTCATGCACTGTACGTTTATTTATTTATGAAAGACTTCCAGAAAGTGCACATGGCTAGTACATCAATGGGAGAGATTTACTAAAACTGGTGCACTCAGAATCTGGTGCAGCTGCACATGGTAGCCAATCAGCTTCTAACTTCAGCTTGTCCAAATTAGCTTTGGCAATAAAACCTGGAAGCTGATTTTTTATGCAGAGTTGCACCAGATTTTGCAGTCCATAGTTTTATGAACCACTTGCCTACAGGGCACTTATACCCCCTTCCTGCCCAGGCCAATTACCAGCTTTCAGCGCTATCACACTTTGAATGACAATTGTGCGGTCATGCAACACTATACCTATATGAAATTATTATAATTTTTTTGAGACAGATAGAGTTTTCTTCTGGTGGTATTTAATCACCTCTGGGTTTTTTTTATTTTTTGCTAAACAAACCAAAAACAACAGAAAATTTTGAAAAAATAGTTTCTTCTTCGTTTTTGTTATAAAATTTTCTCCTTCACTGATGTGCCTTAATGAGACTGCAGTGATGGGCTCTGATAGGCTTCACTGATGGGCACTGATAGGTGGCACTGATGGGCACTGATGAGGAGGCACCGGTAGGTGGCACTGATGGGCATTGACAGGCATCACTAATGGGCACTGAAAGGCAGCACTCATATATGGCACTGATAGGCGGCACTGATAGGTGGCAGTGATAGGCAGCACTGACTGGCACTGATAGGCGGCAATGACTGGTACTGTTAGGTGGCACTGACTGGCACTGTTAGGTGGCACTGATGCGCACTGATAGGTGGCACTGACTGGCACTGATAGGTAGCACTGATGCGCACTGATAGGTGGCACTGATTGGCAGCACTGATAGGTGGCACTGATTGGCAGCACTGATAGGTGGCACTGACAGCTGACACTGAAAGGCAGCTCAGATGGGCACTGATATGTGGCATTGATGTGCACTGATAGGCACTGATATGTGGCATTGCTGTGGCACTGATGGGCACTGGCAGAAGGCAGTGATGAGTACTGACCACTGGCGTTGATGGACACTGACAGGTTGCACTGCTGGGGCTACACTGATCATCAGGGCACACTGATCATCAGTGCCCTGATGATCAGTGTACATGTCCCCTCCAAGGGATGTCGATTACCGGCTCTCATCTCCTCACAAGCTGTCAGCATGACAGCTCATGAGGAGAGAAATGCTGATAACTGGCATTTCCCTATTTACATGCAATTAGCTGTGATTGGAGACAGCTGATCACATGACCAAACCGACATCTTCGGCTTTTTTTTTTCTGTTGATCGGTGATCCGCTGTGTCCGAGGGACACAACGTACCACTGATCACAGCACTGAGCACCCCTGGAGCCGTGCATGTGCGGTTAGAGTGGATGAACATCATATGATGTCCTCCCAGAACGAGAGAACCGCCTTGAGCCCATCATTACCTTATATGGCGGATGGGAGGTGGTTAAATAACGCCCTAAAAGTTAGAAAGAAAAGGTATACAAAACAACATAAAGATAAATAGTATGTACTGCATAATTTCATATCATCAGACTAACTGAGTGTCCATGTTTCATCTTTATGCGTTACAGTCAAGCACTAAAATGGCCCTAAACTCAGGGATATGAATAGGAAGTGTAATGTATAGTTAAGGTTCCGGTTCTGACGTCACCTCCAGTTGCTGCGGAGCAACGCTGATGCTTTTTATCACTTCTGAATTTACACTTTACATACATTAACACCTAATGGCTTGAATATAGAACTTGATATAAACTGTTTCATCATTGATTATTACTGTATCCATCAATAGGCTGTTGGATCCTTCTTCTTTTATGTCAGTATTCTTGTTTAATTTATTTTGTTAAGGTGCGGTAACATTGATGGCAATTTGGAATGTAATTGTTAACTCTTTTTAGGAAAATAGAGGTTAAATGTATAGGTGAATAAAGAGCTGTGACGTTGAACTGCTTTGGGCGTTGATTCTGTCCAGCTATTATAAAACCCCGTCTAGTGCAGAGTTAAGTGTTAATTTGGAGGAGGAGGGTATACAGTATATTTTGGGTGGCTGCACCACGCAGCCACCCCCTGTGACGAAGTTGGAAGTGACGCAACACACCAAGACATGGCTGCGCGGCAACTGGAGGTGACGTCAAGACCAAAATTGACACAATAACGCAATCCAAGTAATCTGGAGGTGGTGAGACATTGCTGGATCAGTACGTACATTAGTGTTAGTATGCAGGTAAAAAAAAATATGCATTTATTATTTTTTGTAGTAGAAGCCTGTAAAGCATTGCACCATTGCTGTCACTGTGTGTGTGTGTATGTGGGGGTCTTTTCTACTGAAAGCTTTGTCATATTTGCACATAAACAAATATGTTTCCAATTTTGCCATGATGAAACTCCATTCGATCCACAGACTACAATTGCACTGCAATGCAAATATCATTCCCAGATGTTATTAGAAGAAAGGTGTGATCAAAATTTGCAGTGACAGACACTGAAACACCCAGATTGTCAATCAATGAAACCAATTCTGCATCCAGATAACCATTGATACATTGTAATCATTGCCAGTATACTCTTGTCAGTCACGGTCAGCTTGCCTCCCTGATGCTCTGGAAATACACAAATTCTTGCTCTAATTTTTCAGGTCAAGTTAGAATTGGTAAAATTAACCTTTAAAAATAAAAGGGTATAAGGTTAGTGGAGGAATTGAATGGCAGTAGTTTGTTTTTACAAACATATGGCAAAGATCAGCGATCACTTTAAACTGTAAAAATCAGTAAAAACTTCAAGCTCACACATTATTAAAGCAGAGCTCCAGGCTAACAGTAAATATACTGCTGAAGTATCCACATGAACTGTCTGCTCAGCTGTTCTCATACACTGCATTGCATTGACAGTTTGCTACATTGTGTCTCTGACTTCAACCTGCTCATTGGACAATGAATGCGTATTTTTAATTATTTTCCAATAACTGGGAATGTGATACAGGAATCTGTAAAGCTGAACCACAAAATGCAGTCATCTTCATTGATATGCAGAGTGGCAGCTCCTGGATATTTTTCACTAGCAGCAGAAGGGGGTCCCCCTCTGCCTTTACTGGGCTCTTCCATTCCATTTTGGTCACATTCACTGAGAAGAGTGGCAGGAAAGGAAGTTATCACCCCTCTTCTGTGACATCAGAAACTGGAAACAACAAGGATTTTTTTACTAACAGTTCGGTTTGTTTGTTGACAAGCTGTTACCAACTTGTACAGCATCTGATCAAACTGATCTCAGGGATGTTGTTCATATGAATTCAAATGCATTTAAATAAAATAAATAATAAAATAAACATTGCTTTTTTAAAGTGTCCCTGCCCCCCCCCCCCCCCGTGCTCAGCCGCAAATGAACTCACATGTAGGTCCTCCACACGTATGTAAACAATGATCGCAGCCAAGGTTGCTGTTAGAAACCGCGAGGCCCCATGCCAGCCAACTTGACAGGCCCCCCCCCCCCCCCCAAAAAAAAAAACAGTTTACTATGCTTCACTTTTGAATGAACACAGTGAGTTATCAGTACCAATCACTCACTGTGTTCATTCATGAAAAATAAGGGGCTGGTAAATGTGACATATTTACCGGACCCTTCCCCCACTCTCCATTCTGAAGATCCTATTGGGTGCTGGCAGCTGCCTGTGGGAAAGAGGGGAGGGAATCCAGCAGCACTGTAGGGGTGTGGGCACACAGGGCAGTTTGGGCAGCAGGGGGAAATGTATGGTGCACAGGGAGGGTGATGGGTGATGGGTGCAGTGGGGGGCCAATTACTGGAGTTCATCCCCTGTTTGGCTCTCTTTGCAGCAGCTGAAAGCCAGTGGGAGGGAGAGGACAAGAAACCAGCTTTCAGCTGCTGCACAGAGAGCCATAAAGGGGATCGGTTCCAATATCCCCCCCCCCCCCCCCCCCAAAGTGCTGATCACCCTCCTTGCCCACATTCAAATTACCCAGCTGCCTGGGACCCCCTGCTGAGCTGGACCCCGTACAGGAGGACTGGTGGTACCCCCTTATCCAAGGCCCTGATCACAGCACATGTGAGGTATCGCCGTGAACGTCAACGCAAGAGCACTAATTCTCCTTCAGACGCTATCCCCACTCCAGTCGATCCTGAAATCAGTGACGAGACTCATCCACCTCACCAACCGCACCACATCCGCCACCCCCCTCTGCAAATCCCTTCATTGGCTCCCGATTGCCCAGCGCATCAAATTCAAACTGCTAACTCTGACCTACAAAGCCATTCACAACGCCGCCCCAAACTACATAACTGACCTGATACCCAAATACTACCCTACCCGTGCCCTCCGCTCCTCACAGGACCTCCTACTCTCTAGCTCCCTGGTCTCCTCATCCCACGCCCGATTGCAGGATTTCTCCAGGACTTCCCCCATCCTCTGGAATTCCCTACCCCAATCCATCAGACTGTCACCTACCCTCATCACCTTCAGGCGCACCCTGAAGACCCACCTCTTCAGGGAAGCCTACCACACCCTCACCTAACAGCTGACCTCCTCCACTCCTCCCACCACTTCATTCCCCACAGCCACTTCCTCCTGTACCACTTTCCCCTCCCTCTTAGATTGTAAGCTCGAAAGAGCAGGGCCCTCGAACCCCTCGTGTATTGTATTGTTTCTGTCTTGTCTCATGTTCTGTCCCCCTTGCTATTGTACAGCGCTGAGCAAACCCTTTGGAGCTATATAAATACTGTATAATAATAATAATAATAATGTATAACTCTAAACTAATAACTTTAAAGGCTTTTAAAGTGTTGTCTATGGATAATAGGGCAGTGATGTCATTGCTATCCCTGCCCCTTTGCTTATGTGATTCCCCAGTGACATCAGTGGTTCCTAAGGACCCTGCGGGTGTAAGCCCTTGTGGCTTCCATAGAAAACCAGGTACAGTGGGAAGATGCTATATGTAGAAGTAATAGAAACACCACTGGTAGAACAGGGAGCTGAACTGGCAATAGTTCAGGATTTGTCTAAATGCCCAAACAGCCAAAGTACATATTCCTCAGTTCCTAGGTTTGTCCATCTAGTGTTCTGCAGATGAGACCTACATAGTAATTATATCTGAAACAGACACAAGCAGGCAGAGAAATGGTAGAGGTTTTATTAGTGATTAGCACTCTCACATTTGTGATGCAACCACAGAGGAAATGGCAAGGCAGGGTAGTTTTCTAATAGTGTGCATTCAGATTGTACTGCTTTTGTCAATGTATTCATCATTTATACATGCACATATTACAGTTAGGTGCAAATCAATGGCAGGTAACTCAGTCACCATAAATCCCATTGGATGCTTCCTGTTTCTACTGTTTCACAGAAATAAGCTTTATCAGTTAATAATGTAACAGTTTTTGTATTAAAATATCCAACTACCGGTATATCCTCTGCTTCTAAACAGATAAAACAATGGAAATAATTCATCAGCTCTCCAGAGCCTTATTAAGAAGAGGTCAGAATAGCTCAAAGTAACTCCTCTGGCTAGTAGTGTGACCAGTATCCCAAAATCAAACACTATGTGGACCCATTTACTCCCCTCCATCAGGGTAATGCTGATTCCTTCCATCACCATGTGACACACCAAGATAAATGAGGACCAAAATGTAAACCCATTAAACATGAAAAAGAAAACAAATAATAAAGCCCACCCAAGGGCATAATAGATTGTATTGTTTATATGAGGCCCATAGAATGATTGTTCTTTCCTTGGTAAAAATATTATAAAAATATGAATGTAAATGTGAAAATTATTGAAGTAAAATCATATGCGTAATGTTGTGCTGTTACAAATAAAAACACCAAAAATGATGATTTTCTATTGTGTGTATTATTTTCCACAGCCTTTTTTTGCTTTACAAATTAAGGTTCTGCATGCTCTATTTTCCTCTTCATCTTTTATTTCTGGTCACTTTTTGTCAGTTTCTTAAAGCCCCCAGCAGAATTTAAATTTAAACAAGCTGCCTACAACCATAGGGTTCCAAACCAAATGAAAAAGACATGGTGTATGGTGACATTCTTTAATTTATATGGGGCAATCTACATACATAACATATGTCATTGATTTTCTTGGAGGATAGCAGTATATTACGAACATAAAAGCTGCTGAATGTCTCACAGTTCAACTACTCATTTTACTCTGTGGATGTTATAGGACAAAGTAATGAAATATAACTACAGATACAGTACACAACTATAATA